AAAATAAAAATAAAATAAAAAAAAATAAAGAAGAGTCTCACTAGGTTTCCCAGGCTGGTCTTGAACTCCTGGGCTCAAGTGTTTCTCCCCCTTGGCCTTTTAAAGTGCTAGGATTACAGGTGTAAGCCAATAGTGCCCAGCTTACATGAGTTATTATACCCTAATTAAACTTAGTTTATTGGAACCCAAATTATTCCAGCTCTTAAACCATTCTACACAGATGGAAATTTACTTGGCTGAAAATTTTAACTTACCAAAACCTGTATGACCTCAAAATGAAGTGCCTACACTGTGTATTTTGTCTTTTTCCTCAGATCACTGTATTTTGGAGAGAGTTGATTGATCCAAGACTGATTATTGAATCTCCGAGTAACACATCAAATACAGAACCTGTCTGAGTATGACCTCTCCAGCTTATAGTTTATGAATGTTTTGTTTGTGAAAGTGACTATAACCTGAACTTTTTTTTTAAGAGGATTTGAAAGTTGTTTGGATTTTTTTGTTATCTTCACTTTACTGCATAGGAAACAATCTACCTCATCATTTTAAATGACATGGGTGTCGGTTTTGTAGACTTTTGGTTTTTTTTGTCAGGTTTAATTTCAGTTAACATAATGTAAAACATGACATTCCCTGCAGACATTGTTGTACACCAATGTGTATGGTTTCTTCTCTTTTTTGAATGTTTTTGACCATCAAGTAGCAGTCGTCAGTAAGAGTTTATAATTCCAAGAATGTGCTGCATATCTTGTCTCAATAAGTTTTAGGTAACATTTAAAAATACTAAAGCATGTTACTTGACCTAATTTTTTACCATTTGAGTTGTTCCATTAAATGGAGCATCTCGTAAATTGCAAGTATTTTATACTTGCAATTGTTAAGAGCTAAAAGGTAGTTGGATTTGTCACAATGAGTTAAGGAATCCTTTCACGGTTTTCCCAATTTTAAAATTAAGGATTCTCAGGGCCCTTTGTACAGCAGTGAAAATAAGACGTGTGTGTGTGTGTGTGTGTGTGTGTGTATGTGTGTGCGCGTGTGTGCGTGCCTGGAGGAGGATCTGTGTTCCACTTGGGTGAGGGGATTGACTGTGAGCTTCAGACCAGGAAATGTGTCATCTTGCCAGGCACCTGGCTGAGTGCTGGAGTGAGGATCTTGAACAGAAGCTTCCTTTACTGTTACTACAAAGCTCAAAAGGCCAAATATATACTGTGAAAATTGGTTTAACAAAAGATCAGACCCGCTCCTTCAGCTGTACACATTTTTAAATAAAATATATTGAACTGAACATCTCTTCTGAGTCATGTTTAATTGAGTATTGCAGATTGTTGTCTTATTTCACAATAATGTGAGAGATTAGAGTTTTCTGTAACAAGAAGTTTGCTTTGACTGATGAGTCTGATGTTGCAGGGTTTGGTCCAGTGGAGCTCGTCTGATCTGGGAGCCACTGTGCCAGTGGAGATGCTGGCCAGTTTTACTTTGCGTGACATGGATGTGTATCAAAATGTGCATTTATTGATTTGTAATGAGAAGTATTACTCCTGAAAGGGTGAGAGTAATGTGAATGGTGGGATCTTGGCACTGGGGTTCTGTGTAGCACAGTTGTCTTCCTGGGTTTGGAAAACAAATTAAGGTAACTAGTAAACATTGACCAAAGGAAAAATGTTGACCTCAGGATGTGTTTTCATCAGATTATAATCAGTTAATGAGTCACCCTTTTCCTCTATTGTGTTTGTCAGGCTATGAATAGAGTCCCCTAAAAGGATTATGAAATCAATTTAGGGGCCATGACCAGTGTTTTGAAAAATAAAATATAGTAGGATAGAAAAAAAGTGCATCACATCTAGTGATGCTTTTTTTTTTTTTTTTTTTCCTGAAACCAAGTCTTGCTCTTTTGCCCAGGCTGGAGTGCAATGGCATGATCTCTCTTAGCTCACTGCAACCTCCACCTCCAGGGTTCAAGCAATACTCCTGCCTCGGCCTCCCCAGTAGCAGGGTTTATAGGGGTGTACCACCACACCCGGCTAATTTTATATTTTTAGTGGAGACAGGGTTTCACCATGTTGGCCAGGCTGGTCTTGAACTCCTGACCTCAGGTGATCCACCCACCTTGCCCTCCCAAAGTGCTGGGATTATAGGTGTGAGCCACCACACCCAGCCTAAGTTTGTTTTATGAAACTTTTGTTTCATTACATATAACCATGTCTGTACTGAATCATCCTGTAAAGTGTAAGTGTATTTTTCATTGCTTGAAGTCAGGGATATAATTGTCGTGTTATACTGAAACTTGGAAACTCTGAACAATGTCATTTACCCAGGAGTGAGAGAGAAAAGGGGAGGTGAAAATGAAGTGCCGAGCAAGAATTGCATGCCAAGGACTAAATCTCTGCCTCATTGTTCCTGGACTAGTGGTCCAGAAGCACTCTCCTAGACGAGGAAAATAGGAAGTACTCAAACACCAGCTCTTTTTATTATAGGATGATTGCTTGCCAAATACCAATGAACTAAGAGAGAGCCTCATGTAACTTCAGAGCAGTGTTCTCTTTTCCCAGGATGTTTTGTGGCCATCACTAAAGTGGCTATGTTCTGGCCTCAAGTGTAAGCAGCAGTCAGGCCCCTGCCTCAGTTTCCCACTGTGCCGCCATTATCCTTGGGAGCATGAACCTTCTGACTTAGTACCTTTCTGCCCCCATGACTCAGTTTTGTCCATCTTAAGATTGTCTGTGCAATGTTAAGTTCTAGGCTGCTTTAACTCTGCATAAAAAGACTGACCCTGACTTCGTCAGCCCAGTGTCCCATGGGGTTATTTTTCCCTTTTCTTTTCTTTCTTTTTTCTTTTTTTTTTTTTTTTTGAGATGGAGTCTTGCTCTGTTGCCCAGGCTGGAGTGAATACAGTGGCACTATGTCAGCTCACTGCAACCTCTGCCTCCTGTGTTCAAGCGATTCTTCTGCCTCAGCCTCCTGAGTAGCTGGGACTACAGGTGCCCATCACCATGCCTCGCTAAGTTTTGTATTTTTAGTAGAGACAGGGTTTCACCATGTTGACTAGGCTGGTTTCAAACTCTTGACCTCAGGTGATGCACCCATTTTCACCTCCCAAAGTGCTGGGATTACAGGTGTGAGCCACCTCACCTGGCCACCGCTTTCCCCTTTTCTTGAAGGGCATAAGCTCTCTGACTCCAACTATATTACTGCTACAGTTGGTCTCTTCTTTGCTGTCCTCCTGTAGGGCACTGGGTGGTAACTTAATTATCTGTTAACTTTTCTTTTTAGCTACTTCCAAACCTGGATTGGTTGTCATTCACTTTCTACTCCTTCAGCTGTTCTGAAGGGATGACATCACAAAAACTCTTCACAGGCAAAAGAACTAGCCCATTCAACACACGGATTGTTTGGTTCTAATTTTCAACTTCTTTATACTTAAAAGCAGCTGTTGCAAACTTTTTTCTTTTTTTTTTTTTTTGAGATGGAGTTTCGCTCTTGTTACCCAGGCTGGAGTGCAATGGCGCGATCTCGGCTCACCGCAACCTCCGCCTCCTGGGTTCAGGCAATTCTCCTGCCTCAGCCTCCTGAGTAGCTGGGATTACAGGCACACGCCACCATGCCCAGCTAATTTTTTGTATTTTTTTAATAGAGACGGGGTTTCACCGTGTTGACCAGGATGGTCTCGATCTTTTGACCTCGTGATCCACCCGCCTCGGCCTCCCAAAGTGCTGGGATTATAGGCTTGAGCCACTGCGCCCGGCCCGCAAACTTTTTTCTTAAGCCCCATACCCTCTTCCTTCAATGTCAGCTTGACAACCTTCTGCAGTTCACAGATCAAGACAGGCAGGAACATGCATCTCTCCTTTGTGCCCTTCCCTTCCTTGTAATGAATGCGCTGATCCGTTTTTCTCCCCGCTTGACTGTTCACAGCTCTTGCTTGCAAAACCTGCTATATCAGTGTAGGTCTAATCAGAAGGGAGAAACCACATAGTAATCCAAACAGGAAATGTCTAATGTAAATAATTCCTGATTTTCACTGGGATCGGAGTGATGAGGAACTGGCTAGTAAGAAGTAAGAGAGGTCAAAAAATATAGGAATAGCAGATACAAGGAGCAGCTACTACCCTGGGGCTGAGATAGACACCAAAGGAAGAGCCTCCAGACGCCACCCTCAGGCTGTGATCAGAATTCCTTGGGAAACCATGTCTCTACCTCACTCAAGTGAAGTATTGAAATTCGAGATTAAATTAACACCAAGACAAAAGTATGCCAAATTGCAGGGTCTTTATTATTGCCAGCGACCACAGAGGACTCACGTCTCTCCAACCTGTGGCGTCGAACTCAGGGAGAGCAGGGTTTTTAAGCTGAAAAACCACATCCTGGTTTTAGGACCCAGAGGGTGAGGAGCAGGGATGGGGATGAAGGGCTTCAGACATTCCGAGGGCTAGTGGATTCTGTAAATCACCTCCTGGGCAGAGATGAGGGTGAGGGGCTCCGGACATTCCAAGGGGCAGGGGACTTTTGTCACTCTGATTGTTACTTAAGTGGTTTACAGAAGTCAAGATAAACGTTAGTTTACACATTGTCTGGGTAGTGGTGGAAGTCACAGATCTTAGTTACTTATTACAAGTCGCAGGGGCCAAGATGGCATTAGCTTGGGCTGCTTATTCTGGTACTGATAAGAAAAGGTAAGCAGCTTTACATAGTGGGCATTTTCAGAGCAAACTAGCAGCTTTATTTACAGAAGCCAAACAGCTTTATCTTATAAAATGGCATTGCTCAGGTTCTGGCTCTAGGCCAGCTATAGCACAATATCACAAAGGTCATGAAGAGTCACCACAATACTATACCAGCAGAACTTGCTGGAAACCTGTCATCTTCCAAATGTTGACACATTTAATTATGCGATATTTTAAAACTGCATTTGTTAACATTGCTACCAAATGTGTGATTTTATCAGGAAAGACTTAAGTATCGGGAAGTTGTCAGCTCACAATGGCAGATACAAGTTTTCCAAAATTCTAATTTGTGCCTGAAAGCTCAGGTGTTTCATTGGCAACAAATACTGTTTGTTCTTTAATTAACAGGCTCACTTTATTGTTCAGAAATTGTGGGCTGGGCACAGTGGCTCACGCCTGTAATCCCAGCACTTTGGGAGCCTGAGGCAGGGCGGATCACCTGAGGGCAGTAATTTGAGACCAGACTGGCCAACATGGCGAAACCCCATCTCTACTAAAAAATACAAAAATTAGCTGGGCATGGTGGCACGTGCCTGTGATCCCACCTACTCGGGAGGCTGAGGAAGGAGAATTGCTTGAACCCGGGAGGTGGGGGTTGCAGTGAGCCGAGACCATTCCACTGCATTCCAGCTTGGGTGACAGACCAATACTCGGTCTCAAAAACAAGAAAATGAAAATGTATACCAATTCCCAAGTCAGAATGATCACAAGTTTTCTGTCAGTAATTACTTCAAGTAAAAATGGTATTTTCATGAAAATTGTGGCTAGTTCAGCTTACAATTCAAATAATTGCTTAAGTGCTTTTCCTTGAGACAACTACTGTATTATGGAATGCAGAAGTGCTTTATGTATATTTAAGAAAGTGTGTCTCTAAGGATCAAGACTTAATAATGTTAAGAACTGTTACTCTATCAAGGATATTAAGTGGAGCTGGCTCTGCTCCCTACTATGAGTGTGTGGCCCACTGGTGCCATTGGCTAGCAGATTTGTGCTGAAGTGCAATGGTTCATTCCTTATTGGTTTTGCACCATCAGAGCAAACATCAATGCCGTGAAAGGATAAAACCATTTTAGTAGCTTTGACCT